CATTTCTGATCTTCATTTTCAACACCCATTTGCTCTTCTACATATTTGTACGTGGCCACAACGTCCACATACGAACGCTCTGCTTCAATTTATGATACTGCTATTTGTTCACAAGAGTACAGATCCGTGCGCACACTGGACGCACGACTGGTCAGGCAGGGGAAGGATAGTGAGGCGATATGCTTTTGGTAACACAGACTGCCCAGGTCAGCTAGTGTCTAGGTGACAAATGACCTCATATGAGGTCACTTTTTAACTTATTTTTCTCGACTTGTGCTAGCTCAACAAGATGGAAAAAAGATACTCTCGACACGGCAGTTGACTTCTGCGTTGTGGAAGGGTGGAGTTTGGTGAGATCTGCACGTCTTCTCCAGCCATTTTTAAAATGCCCAAAAAGGAGCCTTTTTTGACCAACCTCAAAACGTTTTATGTTGATATCTTCGAAACCAAAACGCCTGTTTAAAAAGTCAACTCATCAGTGATACTTCATTAGATTCTTAGTCTCTCTGTGCATTGACAACCGCCATCCCAATGTTTTGCAAGATGTTATTGCCGAGCGCGTATACGTTAAAGAAATGGTGTCCAAACTGAATGTTTTAAAGTTTCGATTTAATTTATATATTTTTGCAAAAAAAAGCTAGCCTCATATGAGGCCATGACTGACCTCATATGAGGTCAAATTGCTTGTCGTCTAGACACTAGTGTCCATCCGACCGGGGCGTGTTCCCATATGAGCAAAGCTCTTTTTTAAAATATTTAAATTAAATTAAACCTTTACAAAGATGTCTTGAGCACTATTTCCTTAACGCACTTGTTTTCGGTAATAAGCTCCTGCAGAACGCCAGGATAGAAGAGCTTTGAATACACTGGAAGACTAAAAATACAAAGCAGATTGAGAGCCTCAATGCTCTTTAAATCTGGCAATTTGTTTCCATGGTAGTTTACATGCAGTTTTAACGTGGTTTTAAGCTTCTTTTCCAGACATATCTAACACGACCAGGAAGAAAATGCTTTTCTCACAAATTTACCTCTGGCCCCAAGGCAGAAGTCAAGTACGGTGGCGGGAGTGTCTTTTTCCTTTTGTCAAGAAAGAGCAAGTCAAGAAAAAAATTCGAAACGTGTTCCTCATATGGGAACAACGGTCGGACAGACTTTCGCCGCTAGAGACCAACCAGCAAAATTAATGCGGTGGCTTCTGAGAGCAAAGCGGTCCCGTCTGCAGTTTCAAACATTTTATGTCGCCCTATCACTCGAAACGAGTCCCTGGCGCACACAAGTCGCAGCTTGGAAAACAAAGAAACATGCTTTTCTGGGGGGGTTGGAGCAATGGGGCACATTTTTACGTTGAGCTTTTCACACTGTTTGCATCAATCGATCATTTCTGCCAACTTTAACATGGTTTCTCCAATCCTCAAGCCCATCTCTTCGAGCACCTCTCTGGTCCTCTTTTAAAAGGAAAGACTTCACGGAGCAGTGGTCCAGCAACCAAGTCCGCAAAACTTGTCCGTCTACATTTTCCACCGAAATGACCTATCTTGCTTCTCAGGCATACGATTTTCCTCTTGCATCTAGCATTTAGGGCGGACTGGACAAACGCATGGTAGATGGATGTAAGGACATTCGACGCATACGGGGCAGCAGTGTGGGATGGTCTCCAGCGGCAAATCGCTCTCTTCCGGAATTGAATCGTCAACATTGCTCTCCTGCACAGCGCTTGTGCAAATCGTCCCACAACGTTTGATAACATTTTTCGTGAATTTCGCAGCCCTCTCCCCCACACATACTTTCTTTTGCGCCAGATATGTGATTAAGGCATGGTTACACTGCAACCCGCAGGGAAAAGAGTCGTTGAAGCTAAGTCGAAACAGCTCGCGAAGTAATCTGATTGAGCTGAAGCGACGGCTGCAGCCAAACTCTTTACGACCGCATCTCTTAGCACGGGTGCATTGGAGAACATATGAGATGACAAATACAGCAACTAGAGCCAACTTGAGACTTCGCGGGCGAATCATCTTGTGTAGGCGAGCAACTTCAAAGTGCTGGATTTTGCTGCGGCGAATCCGAAATGGCAACTCAAATACCCGTTTTATAGAGAAAGAATCACGCTGTGATGACGTACCACTTCATACACGCATGGCGCTATATTGTATTCATTGTGTGGCTAGCGTTCATGGAGTGATACCGTCGTAATGCCAAGTTATGTCTCGCTTCGGCGACAACTTATCAATCAGAAAAATTCGACCAAGCGTAAATAGTACTATTTATGTAAGAGGTCTTTCCAATATTTTCGTTTCGGCTCTTTTCGAAAAAAAACGTATCGGAACTCGTTTTCTGTGTATTGTGGTGTACGAGGTTTCGCTCGTACGTCTGAGAAGATGAGTACCGCACATTGCAGATGCCCCTCCCCTCATGATCTGTGGTTGTGGTGTGGTCTACGATTCGGGAAATATTGCGTGACACTAGATGTTTTGTCTTGGTATTGTTAGCCTTAGTTTTTTCGATGACGAAGAACTACAGTTGTGATGAATCTTTATTTTCATGGCCTTGTTGGCGGAGTATCGCCACCATTTTGACAGCATTTTTCCTTCAATCTGTAAAATTGGGCCAGGGTATGGGGAGCATTTTCGTACTCCCTAACTTACAAACATATGTTCCGCTACATACTTCAAGTTAATGTTGTTCCATCGATCTTTGAAGAAATGCCACCTAAGCCTCCATGGGTTACTTTCGCTTCAAATTACACACAATTTTTCAAGATCCAAGAAATGTTAATGCCGAGGTTGGCCTGTGCTTGTGCAAGGCGGGACTGCGGTTCATCAAGGTCATCATATTTCCGGCGATTGTGAATTTCTGACACGCAGTGGGAGTTTTTCTATGCTGCCACACTCTTCCCTACCATTTGAATCTGTAGTGTACAAACACATTTGTCTACGTTCCACCCACCAACTTAGCACATGCTCTCGAACTACTTTTTATACAAATGAAGGAGGCTAGCGGTATTCAATACATATGCGACCCACATTTTCAAACAAAATGCTAGGTCAATAGCCCTCCACGAGAAAGATGGAAAGGAGCAAATTAAAAATTTGCTTGTGCTTCAAACAGAAGGCACTAAATAGTTCGGTTTCCCTCCCTTTCAGCACGTACCCTATTCCTACATGATTTGTAAAGATGGCATTCGTACAATACAACCTCAGCATGATCATGTGGCCCCTGCAGGGGCGTTTCCTTCTAACGGGAAAGGCAAACTATCGTCGAAGGTCCAAACTACTGATGTGGTAGGGAGACATGATTTTCGTGCGTGGTGCTGAGCCTTAAAGGCTTTCCTCATTGGTGACTCCATGCGCTATAAGATATAGGCACATCACCCACGTCTCGCTGATCGATAATAATTTCGATATCGTCTGGCACTGAAGGTGCAGCTTTACAAAGAAAATATGACACACTTTTTGAAAGTGGAAAACCCCCCTAAGATGTCATAGGGATGAACGTAAAACTTTTTGTTCCACACGAATCAGCGCAACCCCTTCCTGTTCAGGCAGGGAGGGCCTCATATGACGCGCATGGCAGCTCTCTAATACTGATGCAAAGTGTATGGCTTCTGAAGGATTCCACATGCAAGAGGAATACGCATCCCACCAATATTAAATACTGCGTAAAAGTAAGTAATGTATACACACACAGACAAGTACAGTTGTAAGGTATGTACAGTGCAGTACTTGATTGCTTTTCGGCTCGCCTACCCTAGCTCAGCCCGGTTGAGTGTCTTAGTGCGCAGCACGAACAATTGTGTATAGTGCTGTGTAAGAAAATATTCCACCTCAGCACAGGGCCGTGGACTCCGTTATGGATGAGTTGGGGATGCTTGGACGCACATGAGCATGGGCGTTGTCAAAAAAGTCGCAAGTGCCATTCCGTAATCTACGTTGTCCACAGGAGACAAGTATGCGTTCTCACACGGGTCAAGAGGGCCGATATCAGCTCGAGGGCTGGACATGCGCCTCGAGGCGGAGCCGAGGGCGCTTGGGAGGCATGAGTGCCCCGTGTGACAACACACTTGGCTCTCGGCTGACCCCTGAGGAAAGCATACCCAGTTAAATAAATAACTCACAGGTCGAAACTGTCTCCGTCGAGATCGCTTCTGCACACCCCCGCGTACCCAGCCTGTTTCGTTTCATCCGTTCCCCAATATTGCGAAAAACTACTGTTATCGAAGGTTGCCCTAGGGCACCGTCCATAAAAGTAGTTTTTCAGAAGATTGCGAGAACTGGGCATGATCCTCAATATCACTACAATATTGTTGGTTGTGAAATGGGGGGAGGCGGTTTTGGGGAGCGTGCCGTTCGTGGTGAGGGTTGGCCGAGTGTGTCCCCCTTCCCCGCAGCGCCCGTCACCCTCTCTCTTTTATTTCTACGAAATTCCTTCCAGAAGCGTCCACGCAACCGGCCCGGATTCCGCCGGGCCGTCCGCGTGCGCTTCTCTAAAATTCAAATAAAATCTCGGACTACAGAATAAAATCTCCCTCTACAGTAAAATGCAATTTTTCCCTAAAAATATCTCACATGACCCCCTCGTCAGGGCAGACCACGGGTCTGCCGTTGCACGTAAATATACTGGCCCCGCTTCCTCGCGCGACCGCTCTGGCCCCCCCGGCCACCGTCTCTCCACCTTCCACCGAACTGCACTCTCCCTGCCTCCTCGCGCCTCTTTCGCCGTCGAACTTCTAACAGTCAATTTCAAGCCGCGCTTCATCTGCGTCGCCCGAATTCCGGTGAACCAACGTCAGCCTCGCGTCAGCCTCGGGCCGCGTGGTCTCCGCGTCGCCCGGGACTGTGGTCGCTGACGTCAATCGTCGTCTGGGACTCAGGCCACGTGCTCTGCGCGTCGCCTGAGGCTCCGTTTCCAGTCGTTCCCGTTTCGGGACTTCTCGGAAACGCTCAGCGTCTCGAGCCGCGCACGGGAGCTCTGTGGTCCTTCGGGCGGTACTCCCTGTGCGCACTATGGCTCGAACCAAGCAGACGGCGAGGGCTTCCACTGGCGGGAAGGCACCACGCTGCGCTATCGCCACTAGGGCCGCCCGCCGTTCAGTGGGCGTGTGGCGACAGAACGGCCAGGACGTCACCGAAAGGGTGTCTCATGGCGTGAATTGCCCCTTCATCGACTTCGAAGACCTAAGTAATGCCGAACATCTCCCTGACCTTTGGAAGCACGCGGGACGTTCCGACGTCTCCGCGCTTCGGTACCAAGTAGGAGATAGTTCTTTCCGAATCAAATATAAGGAAGTAGGCAACCGGGCGTCCGTCGTAGCGGCCGTATCTGCCGCCGGGGCCCGGCTTCTCTTCGGGGCCCATGTGTTGGCCTTCGTATCGGCCCGCCTCGCTCGCAAGGCATGGTTCACCTCCGACCGCTGCTACCGGCTGGGGCTCACCGAGAGCCACAGCGACGGGACGGAGTACACCTGCTGCAACGACCCAGAGTGGGTCGTCGAATTTGTTTGGTGCTCTGATGGCGGTAACGGCGAGGTCAAGGGTTGCTACTACGCCGTCGGAGAGGGGAGTCCAGAGAAGCACATGATACTTCTCTACACGATGACCTTCGATCGCGTGCCCTCTGCGAACGGCACCGCCCGCCAGGGCTTCAACGTTAAGGAAGAGTACTCTTCCTTCGGTAAGGAGTGCTCAACGCGTATGGACGCTATTCTGGCTATCGACAATTGGTGTAGCCAGAATAGAGGGAAGAGGAAGCGAGTGAACTTTGCTATGTCACGCGACGTCTCCCCACTCGCTTCCCGGTACCTTTGCACGTCCCGGACCGTAGCGTTCCAAGACAATACCGTCTTGGGCATCCGGTCTGCGGTTTGCAACGCAATGTTCCTTGTCGTTGGTCGCGGTGCTGCTGACCGCCTATGGGTGGCGGAAGCGGCCCGAGTCGCCGCGTTCGAGGGTCAGTTGGACTATTCCCCGAGCGTGCACCACTTTACGCACATTCAGAGGGTAATCCGAGCAGATCACCACGGAACAGTTTCTCTTGATCATGTGGCCCCACCGCCGGGGGCTTTCATCCAAGGGAGATCCAGCTCCAGACTCCCTCTGTGGCGCAGCTCTGCTGTTAGCTGGTTATTTCGTCTGCCGCGGGAGCAAGCGGGTGTCTACGTTCTTCGCATCACCGACGTTAACCATCTCCAACACGCTGTCTGCATAGACACACGGACGGAACCGGCGCTGATCTACGATTGTGCAGAACGTTTTGCCATGCAGCTCAAGGACACTTCTCTTCGCTTGTGCTGTCCCGCCGCCGATCCGACAAAGTTCCAGTACTTCGATGATGTGCGTCTCTTGCGCCGAACAACCCGGCAGCGTAGAGACGCCAATCAGAGTCCCAGCCGGGAGAGGAAATCCAAAAAGGTTCGCCGAGGAAATCGTGGCCCCAAATCCGCCCATGGCAAGGTAATTTCCGTGCGTAGGGGTTCTTCAAGCAGCAAACACTGATAGTTCATGCATAAGAAACGAAATCAATCTCAATCGCCTTCAATCTAGTACATGCGAAATATTAAAATGCATCACACCTACATAAGATGTGCGGGTTTCTGAATAAAAGGGATTAAACGTCTTGCATGTATATCCCGTCGACTGTAGCGCAATCCCGGCGACACGAGTGTGTACCGCGGGTGCTTGGCTCGTACTATCCGGCATGGGCCGTAGTACTTCGACTCCCCTAGGGGCCACTTCTGTAACCCTCCTAGGGCTGTTCCTCGGGCGACCAGAACTTGATCGTGTACGTCGAACTGGCGTGGTGACACAACCGTCATTCTCTTGCTCCTCTTTTCCAACTGTTTAGCCGCCCTCGTCGATCGGAGCGCGAGCGTCGCTAACAGTTCCAAGTTGCGCGCCTCTACGCCGTCCCACCGGATTTGGTTCAATTCGGTCTGGGGTTGCGCGGGCGGCTTTTCTCCATACATCAGCTCAAACGGGTAGAACCCGTCCGACAGCCGGCGTCGGCGGTATCCGTACAGGATCTGCTTCAGCGCTGATTCCCACTTGTGGCTAGCGGCGCCCTGTCCCAACAGAGTCTTCCGAATTGAACGCTTGATGGTCCCGACCATACGCTCCGCTTTTCCGTTGGACATAGGAGCATAGGCGAGGACCGGTTTCCATGAAATTCCCTGTTGTACCATGAAGTTCTTCAACGCTGTCGCGCTGAAACATGTTGCGTTATCTGAGACTATGGTCCGAGGGGGACCAAACGAATGGATGATCTCCTCCTCCACGAACTTGACAACTTCCGCAGACGTAGCGGTCTCGGTTGCCCAAGCCAGGGGCCAACCAGTCAGATGTTCGACCGCTATCAGGATGTAACGTTTTCCGTTCTTCGTCTTGGGAAGGGGTCCCGCAAAGTCTATCGAGAATGTCTCAAAGAGCTGAGAGACTGGTATCACCGCCGTGCTTTTGTACGTCGGGATGGGCGCAGCCTTTTGGCAGCCTTCGCATCCACGAACGTAGGCGTAGATATCACCCTGAACTCCCGGCCACCAGTACCTGTCAAGGACGAACTGCTTCGTAGCTGTAGCGTCCCAGTGGCCAATGTCGTCATGCAGCGACCGCAATATCTGCAGTCGAGTCCCTCGAGAAGGGATTGTTCTGATCCCATTCTTCATCCTGCGAAACAGCCTTCCGTTCCAGGCGAGGAACCGCCTGGAGTTCTTCTTGATTCTGCGCCTCTGCGCAGCATCTTGCTCAACCATCTCTTCTCCTTCGAGACAACGGTACGTGTCCCGCACATGAGGTTCGATGTCTTCCAGTATATCTCCTTTCGCAAAAGCGGCAGCACATACCAGGTCCCCCTCATCGTCCTCGCGCCTGCCATCGTCTTTTCGTAGACGCGAGAGAAAGTCAGCGGCACAATTCTTTGAGCCGGGGCGGTACAATATCTCGAATTCGTACTCCGCCAGGAAATCCAACCAACGGGCGAGTCTACCGTGGATGTCCTTCTTTTTGAACGCATACTGAAGCGCTTGGTGATCCGTAATCAACTTGAACTTTTGCGTTGAGAGCAAATACACCCGAAATTTCTTTAGCGCGAAGATCACCGCTAATGCTTCTCTCTCACAGGCGGAGTACTTCTTCTCAGTCTCCGTCATCGTCCTGCTGGCGTATTGTATCGGGTGAACCTCCTTGTCTTCCTTCTTCTGAGCCAGAACTGCTCCCACTGCCACGTTGGATGCATCTGTCTCGACCACGAAGGGTTCGTCGAACTTCGGGAGCGCCAACAGCGGAGGAGACGTCACCCTCTTCTTCAACTCCTGGAAGGCGGTCCGCATCTCTTCCGTAAATTCAAATTCGACTTTGGTAGAAGTAGCAGCATGCAGCGATGCAGAGACTTCTGCGAACTTAGGGATGAATCGACGGTAATACCCCGCTAGCCCAAGGAAGCTTCGCAACTCCGTCTTGGCGCGCGGCTCGGGGGTGTCCCAAATGATCGATGTCTTCTCTGGATCCACCTCAATCCCCTTCTTCCCGATGACGTGCCCCAATAGCCTGGTCTGTGATTGGGCGAAGGAACACTTCGCAAGCTTCAACTTCAACCCGCTGCGAGCAATCAGCTCGAACACTTCAATCAAGTGGTCAACATGGACGTCCAAGGACTTCGAAAAGATGACCACGTCATCAAGGTATACTCGGACGAATGGCAGGTCTCTGAATACGCCATCCATCATCCTTTGAAATGTTGAAGGACCGTTCATGAGCCCGAATGGCATTACTTCAAATTGAAAGGTCCCGTACCGACAGACAAACGTCGTCTGTTCTTTGCACCACGAAGCCATCCGCACTTGCCAATAACCCGAGAACAAGTCCAGGATAGTGAACACTTTGCTTCCTTCAAGGTCGTCGAATATCTCTTCCATTTTGGGCAACGGCCACTTGTCGGCCTTCATCACCCGGTTAAGCGCGCGGTAGTCAACACAGAAGCGAGGTTTCCGGTCCTACTTCGTTGCGATGACGACCGGAAACGACCAAGGAGCTACAGAGGGGGTAATGATCCCTGCTTTCTGCATCTTCTCGATCTCCTCGCGCACTACCGCGTTGTGTCTCGGAGGGAGCCTCCGAACGGCGTGCGAAATGGGCCTGTCGTCATTTAACTCAAAAGAATGTGACACAGGGACCTCTGCCGGCCTGAGGTCGTCCAAAGACCATGCAGCTATTCCCATACTATTGATAGAACATATTATGCGGTCGGCGTTCTTTCTGCTGATATGGCTCAGCTTAGACATGAGAAGTTCCTCCTTCTCATCTCTCTTCTCTTTCTCATCCGCCGGCTTGTACTCTGAGCCTTCCTCAGCTAGGTCCGGAAGTCCAGCATGAGGATCTTCGTCCTCAGTTACTGCTCCCGCCCAGGCAAGGTCTGGTTCAAACGGCACCCTTTCACGCAGCGAAAGGACGAAGTCTTCATCCGTGTCAGTCGAGTCAGCCGGCACGGCCCCCGAGTCTGAGGTGAAGTCCTCACTGTCGGTAGCGGATCCCGGCTTCTTATGGTTTTCATCCATCTCAAGACTTAGTCGAATCGTCTCCTCACCCACAGTTACTTGGACATGCTGTTGCCCCAAGTCAATGCACGTCTGGAGCTCCTCTAACGACGGCATCCCCACGATGACTCGTACGGTGTTCCCGTAACGACAAGGAAGTCCATCATGCTCACCAGTCCCCCAAACGAGACGGGGACCTGGCGCAGTGATCCAACACAAGGGGAGCTCTTCCCATCTGCCACAGTGATGTGTTTCTTCGTACTTTCTGGCGTCAGAGAAAGTCTCTTCATGAGGTGCGGCGACATGATGTTCGGCACCGCACCCGAATCCAATAGTGCTTGAGCATCAGTTCCATAAACTTGAACAGTAACTACCCGAAGACGCCTCGGGAAGACATCCGTGTGGCCTGCAAACCCGCGAGAACGCCCCAATCTCCTGGATAGAAGGCGCTTCATCTCCTTCCTTGCTCCTTCAGCGTCTCCACGGAAAAGTTGTCCAAATGTTAGACCAGACGGCGCATTCGCCAGCTCTGACACGACGTTATACTTGCCGACGTGCTCCTGGAGTGCCGCCTGCTTTGAAACATTCTTCTTCTTCTGGCGTGCAGGCTTCACTCTCGGCACCCTCAGCGACTCATTCCAGGGAAGAGTTCCCCTAGGAGCTACTGGACTGGGATTCAGCAGCCTCGGGATCGAAACTTCTTCACGGTTCTTCGACTGCTTCGGCAAGGCCTCTCCTTCGGCGTTGCGTTTCGTAGCTGCCACCAATTCTCCCTTGGTGGTCTCAGTTATGACCGTGACTTGCTTCGAGTCTCTGGTGGCCTTGTCACCGGCGTCGTTGGCAGAACCGCCTGCTTTGGGGCCATAAGCGCTTCCTGCGCCAGCGTTACCTTGAGGACGTGCATGAGCCACATTCTTTCTAGCAAAGCGGGACCAGCAAGTCTCCGTCGTGTGTCCAATCTTCCCACATTTTGGGCAACGAGTATCACGGTGTGGATTGGAACGACAACGAGTCGCTGAATGTCCTGGTTCCTTGCAATAGGAACATGTCCAACTCGTATCACTGTCCCCTGACGTCTGTCGTTTCTTCATCATCAGTGACAGCTCCGCCAGCTGGTTGGTGATGGCTTCTACCTTGTTCTCCAGCTTTTCCTGTCGAGGATCCACATCAGAACGCATCAATACGCGCTTGGGCGTCACAGGTTCAACGGACTGCGCAGCAGTTTTCGCCGCCTTGAAGGCGTCACGGCCTGCAGCAAAGTCCTTCACGGTCTTCATTAGTTCTTCGTACGTCGTCGGAGAACGATAGATCGCGAACTGAGCAACATCCAAATGTGCCATTACGGCATTGCGAAGCAAGCCGTACTTTGCCTCGTCGTTGAAACCAGCCCTTCTGTAGAGCTTGTCCATTTCATCCATCGAAGTAAGCAAGTTCTTACCATCCAGTTGGCAACTCATAGCCTTCTGGATGTTTTCTTCTGGCCTCGGTGTCTCCGTAAAACGGTCAGACAGGGCGCTCTTCACACCGTCCCAGTTACTGGCGGCCTCGGTCAGACTCCCATTATGACTATACGTGTCATAGTAATAGTCGAACGCGGCACCCTCAAGGTGGCATAGGATAGCTCCTGCCTTCTCCTCGTCAGGCTTGCCGCGCATAATGATGTTCTCGTATACGAACAGAAACTTGGAAACATCTGACCCGTTCGACCCATCGTAGGTAACAGGGTTAGGGCCCGCACTTGTGTCTGCGTCGGCCCTCCACAAGAGTACCATGTTGGTTGTGAAATGGGGGGAGGCGGTTTTGGGGAGCGTGCCGTTCGTGGTGAGGGTTGGCCGAGTGTGTCCCCCTTCCCCGCAGCGCCCGTCACCCTCTCTCTTTTATTTCTACGAAATTCCTTCCAGAAGCGTCCACGCATCCGGCCCGGATTCCGCCGGGCCGTCCGCGTGCGCTTCTCTAAAATTCAAATAA